ATATATATATATATATATAAAATAAATAAATAAATCTGGCATGTTTTAAATCGCTTCTTTTTGTTTCATTTTAAATTTACTCAAGGACTGAAAACTTCAACTCGGTGCAACTGTTTTAGTTCAAATATCTCAAATCAGAAGTATTTTCCATTTTCTAGACAAGTAAAAAGTATTTTGTTTATAGAAATAATAGGACAAAATTATGGGAGGCTTTCTAAAACAAGCAAAATAATCTCCCAATGGGTAAGTAAAAGAATGTTGAATTCAGTTTTATAGACAAACATTTTAAGTGAGAACTGTGTTTTTGTAGTATGCTCATTACTTTTCAACTGTAATATTAACGGAAAAAAAAAAGAATAAAATTGCACTCACTCGACGGCGATTCCTGGCCTGTTCCTATGATAGCGAAGCTCCTTCATCACAAGCCTCAGCAAAAGCTACAGAACATACAAAAAATCATGGTGGTTTTTAAAGTCTGCTATGGAAAATAAACCTGTTTTTGGTTAACAACAATACATATAGTTTATATACGTTTATATATAGTTTAAAGTTTAAAAATATATAGTTATGATTGCTTTATGTTTAGACTACAATATTATGATTTAAATATGTAACTGCAACTGGTCACTCAGGATGAATTCTCTTACTCTTCCTAAATAATAAACAATAAAAAAAAAAAAAAAAAAAAAAACAGTACAGTAAAAATGTATTCAGACAAGTTAGACTTTTGCAACAGTATAAAGGTTGTCATGATTAGATTAGAATTTAATTGCAATATAGTAAGTATTGCCGAACTGCATTGTAGATCCGTCGGCGCCGCTTCAGAGTCGTTGCTTGCTGCAGAAGTTGGGACTTGCTCAACCTTTCAAGCGTCGATGAAAGCCTTAGCCAATTAGATCGCTGTATGCAAATACACCATCTCAGACAGTAGCCTATTGCTGACTAATTTCATTGGCTGACGCTGCAATGACAATCATGTCAGCCCCAACTTCAGACATTCCCTCTGTCAAGCGTTGATGCTGAAGCCCCGTGTGAAAGGGGCATAATATTTTTATAATGGCTTAGAACCAATTTTTGTATCTAATTTTTACATTTTGTGATAAATAGCCATGTAATAAGCAGGAATAATTACATTTAGGCGATTGTTTTTGCAGAATAAAGCCTATCAATCTTAAACAACTGCCAATAAGAATGTAAATCCTTATTCTGTGATAACAACCGTCTGGATGTACTTTATCCTGCTTATTACATGGCTATTTGCCAAAATGTAAACATTAGACAGAAATTATTGTTCTGAGCCCTAACAGTTCATTCTTCAATTCATTCTTTGATTAAAAGTTGACAGACACTTAAACTGCTGAATAGAGCATACACTAACCTTAGAGTGCTTTAAAAAGCTCAGGAAAATACACAGACTGCAATTATGTCAACCTACCAAAAGTGCAAAGAAGTCAGCAGTCATGAGCATGTAAAAGACCTGATCCCATCCCCGCGCTGACAGCAGACCAGCCAGCAAAGGTCCCACAGCAGCACCTACACAACAACAACAGTTCAATCTGACCTCTCTCAGCCCTTCAATAAAATAGCAGTGTTAGAGTTGAGCGCACTTACCAACAGACCCTGTGCCATCTATAATAGCCGTCACTGTAGAGAGAGCCCTGGCATTGCCCTTCAGACTCTTGTGTGTGCCCTGCACGATTAAAACAAACAATCCATCAGAGGAAAACAAGCATCAGAAGGGTACTGTACACAAACTCATACACTAGACCGGTTTCTATGGCTATTTTAATTCGGAGAAAATGTATGCTGCAGTTACATTATATAAAGATCCTACAACTAATTTTTTGCGAAAAACTTTAAAGTGTTACCAAGATTTTAAACACTGTATTGTGGTATTAATAATTTAATAATTAATTTAATTAATTTAATTATTAATAAGTTTATTTATAGTTAGTAAAGTATAGGGATGCACTGATCCCAATACTTGGATCGGATATCAGTTTGATAATACATATTGATTGATGGGGTATTGGCCAGCTGGTACCGATTCAAATCTGATCTAATTTATAAGCCAACAAAAGCCACGAAGGTAGCGTATTATAAGGCACTAGAAATTTATCATGTAGGTCACTACAACCCGAATATTCTGAAGCCATTGTATAGTTTAATGTGAAGTACTGATGAATATTCACGTGCAAATTCATGTTCAGTTCAGTGCTTCCCTTCGCTGTGCCTATTAATCATACTCCATTTATTCACAATTCAAACTGCGTGTCGCGTTCACGACAACATGAAAAACTTTCTCCAAGAATAACTGTTCCTGTTAATATAAATATTCAATGGAGAAAAGCATTTAGTTTTGCAGTAAATGGGTTCATTTTGACATGGAGTTCATTGCTGTTTCTAAATCATGTTGCACGGTGTGTGTTAGATCAGCAGATCGCATTGGCAACACTGGAGTAGAGAGGGTTATTACCTGCATTTCACACACAGTAGGCCTATCTGACACTTTAAATTAGAAAAGGCTCAATAATACATTGGACAGATCCTCAATGCACTGATTTCTTCCCTTTGTGCTGCTGTTTTGAAAGTGTCCACAGATACCGGAAAGCTGTGCATGTTTCAGCGCTTCATTCATGCACTGGCTGCACAGACGCGACATGCGCCGCTCTGTAAAATTATTCTCACAGTAAGTTTTTGTTCTCATATCCTTTCGACCGAGTTCGTTCTTCCAAGGTGAATACTTTAAGTGCTGCTAATATTTTGTAAAGTCTGGCCCATTGTGGTCAAAGTAGTTGAAGAAACTGGCGGGCACATATGGATTGTCATTAACAGAAAAAGATTTAGCTTAATAAAGGCTACTCTGAAATTGTGAATATTTCACTGTAATTTTATTTATATTAATATTTTATTTAACAGACCTGTTTGTTAGTTTGTGTGCCAAAGCATATAAGCGGACCTTGTTTTAAACTTCACCTCCAATGTTCTTGTTTATTTTGTAGATAACTGACCAACAAAAATACATAAAAAAACAACAAATTATACCAAATGAAATTAGTTTCAAAAATAATAATTTTTCAGACAAAAAATAATTTCAGACATGCTTTTAGTTTTTCCACCTCATTCGCGTCGAGTTTAGGCGAGGAAATGTATATTAAGTAAAACTGGCCTCAGACAGTTTAGTCAGCTTCAAATATGCAGGAACATTCCAGGCTTTGCTAAAAGGCAGGTTATTTTACCAACGATTAGGGTCAATAGTGGTAGCCTATTACAGATTTCAAAGAAAAATCTTATTTTAAATAAGGAAACAAAATCTGGCCCACAACAGATTAGTGTCATAATGAATACTCAAATAATGTTGCCTAATTTACAGCAAGCATCATGTTTTTAGTTAGATTCTGCAATCTGTCATATACAGTAGGCCTATGGGTCTGTTATTTGTACTAAAGAAGATCAATTTTTGAGTTCATCACCAGAACTTTAGAAACTGTATTATGTATGTATATATATATATATATATATATATATATATATATATATATATATATATATATATATATATATATATAT